TTTGTTTAACACTTTTTTGGTTACTACATGATTCCATATGTGTTATTTCATTGTGTTGATGTCTTCAGTATTATTCTACAATGTAAAAAATAGTAAAAATAAAGAAAAACCCTTGTATGAGTAGGTTTGTCCAAACTTTTGACTGGTAGTGCATGTTATTGTTTTCGCTGCATAATATTTAGAAGTAGTCCCTTTTCAGGTTTAGAAGAATTGACTGCTAAATGCTAACTTGTTTGTGTAAGCTGGTACTGTAGCATAGCTAGCATAGAGAAGTCTGTGGTGGTAGTCAGTCGTTTTTAACTGTAATGCAGTTGCAGGGACGGCCTGTTCAATAGGGCGATATGGGCGACGCACTGCCAAACGGGAAAAGGAAGGGATTTTTTTTCTAATCAATTATATCACGGCAACAGTAGTTATCAGTGTTGTAATCTGATCTGACTGCCACTAAATGTCAAATCAGGCTAAAGTCGTGCTTCAAATGGCCCCGCCCGTTTTTGGGCGATTTCAGTCAGGTTGAAAATCGCCCAGAAGTCTCTCATAGCCTGTCATGTAAAATCTATTTTTTTCAAATTTCAAAGCTTTCAATACATTCTCTATGGGTGTCTGTGGGCTTGCACTTACGCGCTTTCGTCATACGTGACGTAACCATGAACGTAACTAAGCAAATAGCGGCTAGCAGCGTCTCTGTTGCGACCTGCAATGTGGCGTTATTTTATGTTTTTAATTTGTACACTTAGTGGCGTTATTTTATGTTTTTAATTTGTACACTTAGTTTACAAACATTCTGCCAACCATGGATTTCCAGTGGTGGGTTTTGGACTGATCTTGTTGATCGTGTACATACCCGCTACGAACGGACTAAATAATGAAAACGTTGCTGGCAGCGGAATCCAATACAGCTGGGAGACTTGGCTGGATGACAGAGTCCCGGACAGAGAAGTGGAGCCGGCCGGCTTCACCCTGGTCGGAGCGGACCTCGATCTGACAGTCACAGGGAAAATCGATCCTGGTAAGAGAGCGACTCTGTACCCCCGAGCCCCGACATTGAACTGCTTTCTGTGTCACTGCGACCTTACTATCTGCCCCGTGAGTTCCCCCAATTGTTTGTTACCGTTGTGTACTGTTGATAATCACAAGTTTACTGGAGAACTGAGACCAAGTAGAGACTTTGGACAGGGTGGATATGGTATAATAAAGGCAGTTTATTCAGAGGTAAAGATATCTGGAATCGCGTGCACGGACTCGTTCGTCAAACTCTTAGGGAGCTATCTGAAGAGAGCCCCGAAAACATTGTGTGCTGACATTTTATACAATAAATGATGTAGGTTGAATCTAGTAGTTCTGATCTTCTGATTGGTCCTGATGAGTTGGGCGAGGTCCCCTCCACTGTTGCATTGGCTCTGAGTCGGGTTCTCTGTCTTCAAATGTTCAGCCTAAAGAGAGGGGATTTTTGTGTGTGTGTGTGTGTGTGTTTAACAGTGATGATGTGTGTGTGTGTGTGTGTTTAACAGTGATGATGTGTGTGTGTGTGTGTGTTATCAGTGATGATGTGTGTGTGTGTGTGTGTGTGTCCTCAGAGCAAGAACTCGTGAGTTGGAAGAACTGAGAGACCTATGGCGTGGGTGTTGTCCTTGGCCACCTGCTGACAAGGCTGACAAGATAGGACTCTTTTGTCCATTGTTATAGGATAGGAACAGCATTGATTGAAAACAAACGCCCAACACAAAATGGGTCATGCACAAGATTTTAGTCAGACCAAGCTATAACATTATATATTTACTACGACAGTACATTCAACCAAAAGCTAATATAACAAAGGCATCAGAGATTATTTATAATCTGTCACAGAAACTGGAATCCATCTCCCCAGATCAGTCAATAAATGCTTCTGGTATTGACTTATATGCTGCCCCTGTCTTCATGTTGTTGCTGGACATATCTTTTTTTAAATGTGTGTAGGTCACCTAAATCATCAGAAAAATTGCCCCTCCTGAGAATTTTTTCAGGAGCCGCCACTGTGCAGTTGATTGGTAACGATGACATGAACATGTATTGGGTTAACATCCATACAAGCCTTATACTCCGATTTTTACCTCAACATAGTGTGATATAGCCTACACATATAAACAATAGGCTAAATGTTGGCTAATTTTGCTGGGGGACAATGAGGACATTCGGGATCCATTTCCATGGCATTTCCATTGTTTTTGTCAAGTTCCATTGACCTCTTTACCACGTCTATAGGCCTACCCTACAATGTGACTCTCTTGTTATCTAAAATAAGTGAAACAGCCTAAATCGATCAACAGAAGCAAACCTGGCCTTTAGCTCTATCTAGCCAACTGTTTCCCTGTTTTCTTTCCCGAGGATAAGCTAAAGGTTAAGAAGTTGGACTTAACATTTCTATCCAGAGCTTCTCTTTGTATTAATGAAAGGGAAATGATTGACTGGCGAGATTACATGAGCTGGTTAACAGCTGAGATGTCCCGTAGGATGCTTTCTTTGTAATTTCTGTCACCTTTCGGGGCAGACCAGCCTGCTCCCGCGGATGGGTGGACATGTTAAATCATAATGGTTGCCTCTGGACCCTGACAATAACTTACAATGTTATTTCTAAGGCCTGGATCACACCGACAGTGTTTTTACATTTTGGTACACCAAAAGTACATTCATTTCCAATTGAACGCTGCATTTGCTTTGCAGCATTGCATTGCAGAGGCAGTTGCAGTGCGTTCTGTGTGGTGCACACGTTGAATTTATCGAACGTATGCGTCAAACTGAATGCGAAGACGGCTTGACAGAAATGGTAGCAGAAGGTGAATGTTGAACTTTTGTTGCACACAAAGATGATGATGATGATGCTGCTGATGATGCTGCGTACTATTTTGCGCCGTTTCTCTGTCTGTGTGGTCAAGGCGTAACCCTCTTGACAGGTGTGTTGCTGTTCGAAAGTGTGTTTATCCTGTGGTCTGAGGTAGAGGGGTGCCATACAATTGTGCGTGATGATATCAAGGCTGCAGCCATGCCAAATACTGGCATAGGCCTAATCCAGATGAAATTGTATTTTTTTAAAATTTTTTTTACCTTTATTTAACTAGGCAAGTCAGTTAAGAACAAATTCTTATTTACAATGACGGCCTACAGCCTACGGGACTCCCAATCATAGGCCGGTTGTGATACAGCCTGGAATCGAACCAGGGGTCTGTAGTGATGCCTCAAGCACTGAGATGCAGTGCCTTAGACCGCTGCGCCACTCGGGAGGATTTGCATATTTCTCTGGATTGTCTCATTGATTGTGGGTGGTATAGGTGGGCGAACACGTAATATAAATGAATAAATGCATGGCTGTCATTTTATTGGATCTCGTGCTTTTGGGCCAACATTAGTTTTTGGACCCTTTTAGACACATCTTAATATCATAGGGTATAGGCCTATAGCCTATAGTCCTCGACGTGGAAAAGGGGATATAGGAACAAGCATAACGCCTACCAAAGGCATAGGCCTCAGTTATAGGCTTCATTAAGCAGTTACAGGCATAATTCAGCACTACCTACCTTTTACTCCTTTATAAAGGGTCACACTCTCTATTTACAGCTGAAGGTTTCACTTTATTAAAAGCCATTTTGTCAAGGTCTTACAAGGAGAGTCATTGACCCCAGCTTCTCGGAACAATCAGACAAACCAACCCCTAACTTGTGGGAGAAGAAGCAATAGAGCACGTTTGACATAAATGACTTTGTTTTCGCTCGTAATGGCCGCCTGGTTATCTGAAACGAGCTTTCTGTGTTCAGGAGATAAGATTTGTTTTATTAGGCGTCAGGATGTAATGTCTTACAATTCGCTTTTAAAGCGCCAAAGAAAAATAGACGTTATCTACGCAATTAAGCATTGTGATCAAGTCACTCGTGGATATTCCTCCATCTCTGGCAACACAAAACCCCGACTACCCTGATAGGGTTGAAGTCATTTTCCATTTTATCTGTGGGTCAGGTGGCTTTGGCGTGCATCAATCAACATGGCCCAGAAAAACCGGTTGTTAAAAACCCCAAACAAGGAGAACGCAAATGGGCAACCCCTACATGAACCGGTTGATTAATTTCAAAGAGGCCATCTCCCTAAGGGTAGGTAAAGGTTATCCACCAAACAGTCACATAATGATGGTCAAATAAAGGTGAAGTGGACTATGACTAAGCTAGAAGGCCTGCGGCGCATAGGTCTATACACGAATATGAAAACAGATGAGAGAGCACACTACTGTCACTTTTAAGCAAGTACAAGCCTAAACCCTATAGGCCTACCATGGTTCATATTATTGATTTATTTTATCCAATGAAAACATCAGGCGATCTCTATGACAACAGAACAGCCTAATGTTCTACTGATTTCAAAAAAGCATGGCCATTTTGTCCCATGACTGAAGATCTATGCATTGAAATATTCAACTCAAGAAACACAGTTGCATTACTACATTATTACTGATGCTTGAGAATATGAAATCATTTTCCCGACCAAAAGCACACATACACACAAACACCTTTTTAGAGCAATGGACACAAACCAATATGATAATGTCAATGCATGACACGAGAGCGTGTGGCCTTTATGGCCGCTGGTGTGGCCACTGTATGCGGCGTGAGCGCGCATTCAACAACCAGTGTTGGAAGAGACTGAGAGTGAGTGAACGAGTGAATGGCAGGGGGCGGATGCTTTCAGGTAATCCACGCGTGGTACGCTCATATGCTTTCATTTGGGACTGATAGAATGAGAGCGACCGAATAGGATCCGATTCCAGCGCCACTATGAAATAGATGATAGCCTACGGACTTGGGATATGCAAATAATTTGTTGTTGAACTTTCGGAATCGGACAAGAGAAAGCTGCTGTCTGGAATCATTTTGTCATGACGAATATATCAGTGAGAATATGACGCTGAAAATATGAGATGATACTTGGTGCGTGTCAGTTTGACAGAATCATAGCGACTTGAGGGACGACTTTCCATGGCTTTATATAATTCCACTGGGACCTCTGAGGTGGAAAAAACGGTGCCCACTTATGAGGATCTGGGTGCGTTCTATGTGGATACCGATGGCTATCCACATGGCTATATATTTGGATATACCAGTCATCTAATGCGAAGAAAAGCTCAGGTAAGCGCAAAACATAAAAAAAATAGGTTAAATGACAAATTAAAATATTGCATATGCAACTAAGGTATTGCAAGTGGTGATATTTAGTTGCTGACTGAATGGTAAAGAAGTCTATGCGTCTTTATCAGATAAATGTACTTTTGTTTGCTGATGACTCGCCGTAGTAGTCCAAGATTCAGCACCATGAACAGCGCTCGATCTTCGGTGGATAACTTGTTACTTCGTTGTCGTGCTAAGTTCACAGCAAGCACGCTCTATTTCATGAGACAGACTGGCTACGAAAATATACTGTCAGAGTAGGTTATGTCTGCAAAAGTATGCCGTTGAAAGTTAGCAAAGGTTTTTAGTGCAAAATGCATAAAGGCTATTGAGAAATGTCGGTTACACAAAAAGGAGTCACGAGACCAGACTTTCCATTTTTGTTGAACACCTTTTTATATACCGGCGCTGTTGACTACCACAGCAACTCAAAGCCATGCCAACTTCTTTTAAAAAGAATGTCAAAAGCTGGCTAATGATCGAGCAATAGAAGAAAGAAAAAATGTCTGTATGTAATGCTCTAGGCTATGACAATGTCGTCCTGTTCTTTGTTTTGTTTTGTGTAACCAACGTATGCCTAGTAGACTATGCTTACGTTTGTAATTTTTTAAAAACTATTTAAGAGGACCACAATGGAAATACGTTTTCAAAACTTTTTGGTGTCATCTTAGATGATTGTAAATGCATTATCCACATGTGTGGTTGCATTGTGTTTTAAATTGTCAAATAAATCAATCTATTGTCAAATCAATCTAATGAGTGATTTTCAGTAGGCTAGTCTATCCACGCAACAGCAGCAGTTGTTTGACGATGATGCACTCGAGAAACACAGATAGGCTACGGACGTGCTGTCATTCCTCATATGTCAGATATTAATGTCTAGACTGTGAGCTGAAATCAGTAGCCTAATATATAACGAGTAATTGTGTCAGATAATGGTCAGGTGAGGGCGCCAGAGCAATACGAACCAGGGCCTTCGTCTTATTATAAGAGGTGGTGTTAGCAGCCTACCCAACACGAGTCCTGTAGCCTACTGTTTGGCGAGCGTGAGTTCTTGACTATAAATAATTACGATCACACAGGCGCACAAAATACATCCAAATGGGTCTTTGCATACGGGACTTGAGTGTACACGAGTAGCTTCGATAATCAGTCAGGCCAAGCACTCTCCGTCCTCACTGTTGTAAATGTGCGGACTTTGGTATGAAAATGACGCAATTACAATGTCGATCACAAAGCCTAGCAATTTTTTAAGGATGTCGTTCATAAATTGAAACAGTAGCCTAATCCTTGTCATCAAGAGTGAAAAAAAGTGATATACATTTTGGCAAGGTAATACGAGATTTATTACAGTCAATCAATAAAAATGATACTGTTTCATCTCCATTATTATCTATAGCCTAGTAGGCCTATGTGCAGTCTAATTGTGAAACTGAACTTTCATGACAGAGCGCCCCATATCCCCTAGTCAAACGTCCCATCACAAAGTTAGAGGAAGTTGAAACCGAGAGCTCCACCCATCCATCCCATGGAGGCTATTACCTCATCCGAACATTCCACCAAATTGAATTCTATCGCTGTCAGACGCGCTGTGGGAATGAATTAAACTGCCAAGGGACTACTGCGAGGACTATCTTATCACCATACATTTTTCTGGGCGATTTACCAATATATGCAAGGGCCAAATCGTCACCAATAAACGTGGGAACTGTAGGCAATAACATTACAGGTTCAATCGAAAAAGTGTGTGAGTTGGTAACATATACGAGATGTACTCACAGTATTGGAATACGGCTCGAGGACGCAAACCAGACTACAGGAGATATACGGTGAGGTCCCTTGAGTATATCGATGGATGACGTTTCAGATGTCTGAGATGAGTTAACTATACAACTTTTTTGCTATGCATTGTGTAAAGTAAAACATCAGACCCTGACTATAGGCTATGGCTTTCTTTTTGTTTATATGGAGACCGTTGCATATCACCTTTTAGGGGCAATCTGCAATTGATACATACATTTTTGTACTTTTAATTATATATATATATATATATTTAATTATATTATATTAATTATATATATTATACCCATTGATTGTTGAATAATATAATTTATAAATGCCTCATGAGCTTAATTCAACTGTCATACCCCATCAAAACCCAAAACCTGTTTTACTATTTGTAAAAATAATAATTGTAAACAAACACTGAATAGCCTCAAGACATGATTAAAACAGTCATTTTGATCTCATGGATAGTCAGTCCTTGCAACCATAGCTGTGTTTATGAATTTGAGACCCATCCTGCAGCTGTTTACCAAATCAGTGGCGGGGTAACTGCTTTGTTGATGTTTGAAGTGCAGATTGCCCCTTTAACCTATCACCTTTAACGTAATTGCTCATGGGCGGAAGTGTCTGTTGAATGTGATTACCTACACCTGTGCATTATTATCAATTACAATCCTCCATCATACAGGTGTGCATATGCATTCTTGCTGTATTGATAACTAGTCAGAAGACAGACACCTTTATTAAAACTTGTATTTCTTCCCTGTTTTATAAGGTTGTTGAGGGAGAGACCCTGATATCTCTGGGAGTCAATCCAAGGAAGAGGCTTCACTCAGCGCCGGTGGAGGATGTTGAATGCGGCGGCCGGCCAAACCCCGAGGGCGCTGGGTCAGTGTCCGTGACGGAGTTGAGTCACTATGGGGAAAAGGGAGAAGGCGAGGGGACCTTGTGCCAACGATGTCAGATCATTGCTACAGAGCTGAACAGGCAAGCGCTTGCTTTGGCCGACCCTGCGTCCCTGAAGGTTTGTAACTTTGAACGCTCCGCTCTTCACCATTAAAACAATTACTTAAGACAACTGTCCCAACAATGTAGTCGGACACACAGTTCTGCTTTTATATATCTATTTTTTCCTCATGGTTTTAGGCTTATAGATGCAGTCACTGCATGGTTTAAACACCCAGAAAAGTAGGCCTAGCAGTTAAGAGCTTATAACTTCAGATAAACATGTAATTGGTTCAGATAGACATGTCATTGGTTCAGATAGACATGTAGCCTATGAATGAACCCCACACAAGTACCAGATAAATCAACGAAACAGCTGATGTTACGAATTATTTTTCACCTGTAGGCTATATCACGACCTGTTGACTATTGCTTTGTGGAAAAAACACAGGCATAAAAGGCTGCTGGTGTCCCATGACTTCTCATGGGCCTACCCCATGATTTTCAATGTGAATGCCATGGGACTTTTACATAAGGGTTATTTTTAAGGCTACGAACCATGCTCATAGGACAATGTAGAAGTGTGGAGAGGCATTTGATACTGAGGTCTTTTGTCAGGTTTGTATTGCTGAGAATAATCCTCAAAGTACACTCCTGTCCCAATTGTGGTCTGGGACACTGCTCACGGGCCCATTTCCCATAGTGACAGCGCTCTCTTCCCATCCTCTCAGAGCGAAAGTAGAACTTGGCGGATTCGCTAGATGTACCCAGCTATGATACAGTATGTGCTGTGCTGTGCAAGTGTGTATGAGATAGTCACAGAGGAAGTCAGAGAGTGAGTGAGAGGGTTAAGCAGAGAGAGAGAGAGAGAGAGAGAGAGAGAGAGAGAGAGAAGCAGAGAGAGAGAGATAAGCAGAGAGAGAGAGAGACACAGAGAGAGAGAGAGAGAGAGACAGAGACAGAGATAGAGAGAGATAAGCAGAGAGAGAGAGAGAGAGAGATAAGCAGAGAGAAAGGCAGAGAGAGAGTGAGAGAGATAAGCAGAAAGAGAGAGGCAGAGAGAGAGGCAGAGAGAGAGTGAGGTAGAGAGAGAGATAAGCAGAGAGAGAGAGGCAGAGAGAGTGAGAGAGATAAGCAGAGAGAGAGGCAGAGAGAGAGTGAGAGAGATAAGCAGAGAGAGAGCGATAAGCAGAGAGAGGAAGGTAGAGAGAGAGAGATAAGCAGAGAGAGTGGGGCAGAGAGAGAGAGAGATAAGCAGAGAGAGAGAGATAAGCAGAGAGAGAGAGTCAGAGAGAGAGAGAGATAGAGGCAGAGAGAGAGAGAGAGAGAGAGAGAGAGAGAGAGAGAGGCAGAGAGAGAGAGAGAGAGAGAGAGAGAGAGAGAGGGGATAAGCAGAGAGAGAGTTTTGGTAACACTTTATTTGGATAGTCCATCTGTAGATGCTCTTCAGACCACCTACAGACTATCAGGAATATTTCAACTATCTACTAACCCTAACCCTAACCCTAACCCTAACCCCAACCCTAACCCTAACCCTAACCCTAACCCTAACCCTAACCCTACCCCTAACCCTAACCCTAACCCTAACCCTAACCCTAACCCTAACCTGAATCTAGTTGATGATCCCTACTGTAGAGCGTCTACAGAGTGACTATCCAGACTATCCAAATAAAGGGACCAGAGTATTTGCCATGAAAAGGCCAGTTTTCAGAACTTTACCAGTTCACACCCTGAAAAACCCTGGCTTGTGTACTTGTCAACACAGTTTCAAACATGCATGCTTCCTATGTCTGACCTTTCCTCCTCCTCCTCTACCATGGTACATTTTTATGTAACCCGCTTTGGCTTATATGCTTTATAGCATGTGATTTCTGCTACTCTCAGCAGTTAAGATATGCGTTACAAACGTCACCCTATTCCCTATGTAATGCATTACTTTTGACCAGTGCCTATAGTTAAATGTAATGCACTATATAGGGAATAGGGTGCCATTTGGGATGCGACCGAGTTATTTGCCCAGCTCATAAAGGGGGCCTAGTCAGCACTTTGAGCTCATCATCATGAACGATGGCTTTCATCGGATCCCCATCAGCCATGGAAGGAAGTGCTGAACATCAGAAATGGAGCCAGTCATACACGTTGTTATTATTAAGGGTATCCTGATAATGGTAATAAAACGTATGTTGTCCATGGAAGTTTTGTATTCACCTTCTGAGAAGACCACTTTGTTTATGGAGTTTTTAAAATAGGATTTGACAGACATCTTCAAGCTGAATTCATCACCATTTACCACAGACTTCTCAGTAACACACCCCACTGGGCACACACTGGTTGAATCAACGTGGAATACATTTACATTTACATCATTTAGCAGACGTTGAATTGACGTCTATGCCCAGTGGGACACTACTACTACGTAGATACCCAGTGGGACACTACTACTACGTAGATACCAGAAGCAGATCTCTCTCCATGTCACAGAGTCAGATAGGAAGGTGATCTCTCTCCATATCACAGAGTCAGATAGGAAGGTGATCTCTCTCCATATCACAGAGTCAGATAGGAAGGTGATCTCTCTCCATGTCACAGAGTAAGATAGGAAGGTGATCTCTCTCCATGTCACAGAGTCAGATAGGAAGGTGATCTCTCTCCATGTCACAGAGTCAGATAGGAAGGTGATCTCTCTCCATATCACAGAGTCAGATAGGAAGGTGATCTCTCTCCATATCACAGAGTCAGATAGGAAGGTGATCTCTCTCCATATCACAGAGTCAGATAGGAAGGTGATCTCTCTCCATGTCACAGAGTCAGATAGGAAGGTGATCTCTCTCCATGTCACAGAGTCAGATAGGAAGGTGATCTCTCTCCATATCACAGAGTCAGATAGGAAGGTGATCTCTCTCCATATCACAGAGTCAGATAGGAAGGTGATCTCTCTCCATGTCACAGAGTCAGATAGGAAGGTGATCTCTCTCCATGTCACAGCCAGATGGGAAGGTGAACATTAGAATTGATCCTGGAGCTGCTTTAAAGTCTGTTTTGTGGTTTTCCTCACTATGTGGTTAAGTCTTTGGACAGGATGAGCTGATCTTAGATCTGTTGGTTGGATGAGGGTATAATATAATATAATATAATCGATTATAATTTAATATAGTATAATAATAATATAATCCCAAGTTTCTCTTGGCTCTTCTCTTTTGTTTGATAGGTCATGTGGATATCCATGCCAGATCATGCTCTCTCTATCTGTGAGATCGGCATGTCATTCCCAATAACCAAATCTGAAATGAAGTCCACCTTGACTTCAAGCTGTGATGGTGGTACGGGCTGGCATACTCTCTCATGGGGGCGGGGGTTTCTGTCCATGCGTGATGGTATAGGGGCATGTCTTGTATCAGGCAGAGCTTTGATTATCACCCCCCCTCCCTGGGCCCATGAATAGTTTAGTCTGGCTTGGAGTCTGGGGAGCGACATTTTCCTTCCGGGAGCTCCAATGCTGTACCACGCAATTGCATTGTGTTTGCTGTGTGTATGGATCTGTTGACTAAATCTCTGGTTAAACTAAAGTTTGTCCTAAAAAACAAAAACAAAATAGAATTATTGTAAAATTGACTGTGTCCATAAAATGTATATAGTATGTATAAGCTGGAAGTAGAGGCCTAAGCATTGCTGTTCACAAGTTTACTCCAATTAGGGAAGGGGTGGTGGGGTTGGAAAGTAATAAAGGGAAATATATTTAAAAAAAGGATATGTATATGTGTATGTATATGTATGTGTATGTATATATGTATGTATGTATGTATGTATGTATGTATGTATGTATGTATGTATGTATGTATGTATGTATGTATGTATATACACATATATATTTGCGAGAAAAACAAAACAAATGGGGGATTGGAAGTGATGCAGACAATGACATTGATGGAAGTTACAATCTGCAATATTAAAGCTGATCTACGCCCTAAATTTTTTTTAAAAATAAGACAAAGTTTGTCGTCATGGAAATTGTTCAAGAAAAGCTACAACATATAAAAAAAAACAGCTGCAGATTATAATTTCATTCGTCCTGTATATTTCAAATATTACAGTGTGTTTGTTCACAGGGGTCTTTGCAGGGGGAAAATGTTGCCTTGGGCGTGCGCCTAACTAACTGTAACCCCCAGGTCCTTTGGCTTGGTGTGATGTAGTTTCAGGTCATACCTCATGGCCTGCCTGCCTGCCTCAGACTATGGCTGGGTTTCAATGGCTTTTTCCCCTACTTTACTTTGTGACCATTGATATCAGTTGGAACCAAATTGTTTTCACCCCATCATGTCCTTTTAGATCAGTGTTCAAGGAAAAGAGATGACGACAGGAGGCTATTCTAAATTATTGGGACATGGCCTATAGTGCTGCGTGGGTCAAAATGGCACCAGCCACAGTGAATGGATGAGTCTGTATAACCCTCACTTGGTTTGATGTTGCCACAACTTTTATGTTAGAAAAGTTGTCTGTACACATGGCCATATAGTTGTCTATACACAGGGCCATATAGTTGTCTGTACACATGGCCATATAGTTGTCTATACACAGGGCCATATAGTTGTCTGTACACAGGGCCATATAGTTGTCTATACACAGGGCCATATAGTTGTCTGTACACAGGGCCATATAGTTGTCTATACACAGGGCCATATAGTTGTCTGTACACAGGGCCATATAGTTGTCTGTACACAGGGCCATATAGTTGTCCATACACAGGGCCATATAGTTGTCTATACACAGGGCCATATAGTTGTCTATACACAGGGCCATATAGTTGTCTATACACAGGGCCATATAGTTGTCTATACACAGGGCCATATAGTTGTCTATACACAGGGCCATATAGTTGTCTATACACAGGGCCATATAGTTGTCTATACACAGGGCCATATAGTTGTCTATACACAGGGCCATATAGTTGTCTATACACAGGGCCATATAGTTGTCTATACACAGGGCCATATAGTTGTCTATACACAGGGCCATATAGTTGTCCGTACACAGGGCCATATAGTTGTCTATACACAGGGCCATATAGTTGTCCGTACACAGGGCCATATAGTTGTCCGTACACAGGGCCATATAGTTGTCTATACACAGGGCCGTATGTATAGTTACACGTGTGAGAACTATGAGTTGCTTAGGAAGTTGGAGAAGCCGTCTGTAGACGTGCCAGTCTTTGCTCAGAAGCTTTTGTTGGAGAGTTCTAGAGTCTAGCTCTTCATTTTCTGCTCCCTTGGTACATTTTAAAAAACCAGTGTGTTTTGAAAGACATTAAACAAATTGCAAAGACCAAGGTCCAAGCATCAAAATGAACTTACTTAGCTTACTTCAAGTGTTTCCCAGGACCTCCAAAACTATCAACAGTTCAGATGGTGTCTTAAGTTGGGGGATATGACTCATATGTATTTAATTGTCAACACAAGTGTTGAATTTTCCTCACCTAGAATGACATCATATGAAAGGGAGTGTGAATCTATCCACTCTCTCCTTGATGTTTACTTTTACATAGCCATTTTTATATACAACAGCAAGTGCCTCATTGTCTTTGAAAACAATGCCAGTCGCAGAGTGTGAACAACGGAGTACAAATAGGAAGTGACCCTTGTTGATCTTCGCTCTGAGCTGAAAGCATATCCCTTTAGACATCCTTGGTTCAATTCAATGAAACCTGCAGTGCGTTGCAGTATTTAACAACGATTATGCTATCGCCACCATCCTGGTAGCATAAATAGTGCTCATGTAACTACAAACAAGTGTTTTCAAATGAAACACTGGTTTCTCATGACATCTTGCCACCCTCAAGCTCTGGGAGAAAATGGTCCCACTTTACCCCAAGCAACCCACCTGGCAACCCACCTAGAACTGTTGGTGTTTGTTTTCAACCCTGCCTTGTATGAATGCCACCGGTGAGAAGGAGTAATGTGTTTTGCCATAGACAGGGATGGCATTTCGCATAGGGTGCTGCGGGTACTGCGGGTCCTGGTGGGATGTAATCGGCACCTCGGCAGAGGAAAGTAGCATGGATTTGTCCAAGATTGCCCAAATTGTGATGTACAAGATTGCCAACATCCTCATCGGAAACATACTGGAATGTATGCAGGTTTGCTAGGGGTCCAAGCACAGAAGGTTTAGAGCCTTAATGTATAAAAAAAAAGGTGAGAAGTAGGCATTGGTCTGAAGCCTAAAAATAAAGCAAATTCACATGAGCAACACAATACCTTCTCCACCCATGCTCTACCAAGGTTTTCCAGCACACAGTTTTGACCTACTGCAGTAGTTATGTTGGTCTATTGTACTTCAAATAATGTGTATGCAGGTTTCTTACGATTAAAATCTTCTCACACAGCCTAATTCATCCTCTGGGAGGAGGTGCTCCCACAACAATGTGATTTGTACCACATACAAGTTAAAGTATTGGATCCTTCACACATCCCATTTCACTACCGTTTCAAGCTTTTTTTTTATTATATGAATTACCATCATGCTTGATTGAGCGAGCACTTTTTCTTGTAGTAATGTGGTGCCTGCCTGTATTTCCTTTAACCTGTTTATTTAGCACTACATGGGCGGTAGGTAGCCTAGCAGTTAAGAGCGTTGGGCCAGTAACCTAAAGGTTTTTTAATTTTTTAATGTATTATATGAAAGAATAGAGGCGCCACATGACATATTGACAATTAATCTGCTTTATTACCCTCTAGTTGTAATTTACTTATCATCTCTTCCAAAGACTTCTGAAGATCAAACTTGTCACCCAGCATTTCAATCACTTTCGACAGGTCCAGGGTTTTGCTGTTGTCCTGTGTCGGATCTGGACAGGCATCCATGCGGCAAATTATGACAGTCCGTGATTAAATAAACATTTACATTATCACAAGGATACAACATTTAGTTTTCCCCAGAAGCTACTTTGCATTAAGGTATTCTACCCTTGTGGATGTATCTTCCGAACAGCATGCAGAACAGCTCGTTGTTGTTGGCCTATCCAGCACAGTGTCAAAGCACAATGTCAAATCTAGTTCGCTAGCTTATCATGCAGTCGGCGCTTCGCTGATAACTTTGCAAACTTTGGTTGAATCACTCAGTCTGCTCACCTTGCTTCCATTCTAAAATGGTAGCTTGGTCGCTGAAAATAGTTTCTGGTGAAAACTCTAGGTAAGGTAAGATGCTTACCTTTCTGTGGGTTTGTGAACACAGCTGGTGGCAAATTGAGACAGTCCACCTGTTTCTTAAACACTTTCAGTTCAGCAGAGGTGATCTCCTTTCTCTTACCTGTTCATCATAGGGAATAGAAAATATATTATGAGCCAGAGGGCCCCAAAATAAACATATTTTCATATACATATTTTCACATACTGTATATCATGTCCAATTAGTTAAGTAGTAATACGTTTTTAAACAAGACCATAGTACTGAGTTTAGCATGATAGACAGGGCTCTCAGTGTATTTTCTAATGTTCTTACTGTAGAGATACAGAGTGCTGTAGTTGCCAAGCAATGACATCTTTTGGTGGGCAAGGAGGCAGTCAGGGCAGGTACTCAGGTAGGTCAGGGAAAAGGACAAAGGCAACGCTGTGGCACACAAACACACACTTTTTTTAACATGACATACCACATTGGTTCACTATCCTTTAGTGCAAAGTCATTATTATTATTATTGTTATTATTATTATTATTATTATTATTAGTAGTAGTAGTAGTAGTAGTAGTAGTAGTAGTAGTAGTAGTAGTAGTAGTAGTAGTAGTAGTAGTAGTAGTAGTAGTAGTAGTAGTAGTAGTAGTATTGTTATAGCTTTACTCACTTGACGTAAATGTGTTGTTTTCCATGGTCATCACACTGGTCATGCTAATGCATTTGCCTCCACTGTTGAGTAATGAACTGAGATAAATATACTACAACATTCAATTACAAATTAAATTATACATCACATTACACTCAAAACACATTTCTCTAAGTTGTCTTTGTTCTGAGAACATTCCTAATGTCACACAATTTGAGAACGTTCCCAGAATATACCCAACAAACCAAAACTGGTTCTGTGTATGTTCCCAGAACATTTCATTAAGCTGTGGGAAAGGTGTAAGAACATTCCCCCTAAAAGTTATAATAACACAATCTGTCCAGTTGTGTTGATGATTATACAATGTTGGTATTAATGTGGAAAAAACATTCCTCTGATGTTGCAAGAATGTTAACAGAACATTTGTTATGTCATTTTAAAGTGTCCAAAACATTTCATTATGCTGTGAGAACAATGCGGGTACATTAGCACTCACATCTGACCTGTAGCACTCAAATCTGACCTGTAGCACTCACATCTGTAATCATGAAGTGCTTTGGAAGCCTGGTCATGGCACATCTTTTTTTCTTGAGCGGTTGGTCAGGGGACCAGAACATAATTACAAATCATTTGTAAACCGCAAATTAACCGTAAGAAGCCCAAACAGATATAATATTTCATTAAAACAATAATTTCAAACCTTGCTTACGTTTGTATACGATCACACATACAGTGGGGAAAAAAAGTATTTAGTCAGCCACCAATTGTGCAAGTTCTCCCACTTAAAAAGATGAGAGAGGCCTGTACTTTTCATCATAGGTACACGTCAACTATGACAGACAAATTGAGAAGAAAAAAATACAGAAAATCACATTGTAGCATTTTTTATGAATTTATTTGCAAATTATGGTGTAAAATAAGTATTTGGTCACCTACAAACAAGGAAGATTTCTGGCTCTCACAGACCTGTAACTTCTTCTTTAAGAGGCTCCTCTGTCCTCCACTCGTTACCTGTATTAATGGCACCTGTTTGAACTTGTTATCAGTATAAAAGACACCTGTCCACAACCTCAAACAGTCACACTCCAAACTCCACTATGGCCAAGACCAAAGGGCTGTCAAAGGACACCAGAAACAAAATTGTAGACCTGCACCAGGCTGGGAAGACTGAATCTGCAATAGGTAAGCAGTTTGGTTTGAAGAAATCAACTGTGGGAGCAATTATTAGGAAATGGAAGACATACAAGACCACTGATAATCTCCCTCGATCTGGGGCTCCACGCAAGATCTCACCCCGTGGGGTCAAAATGATCACAAGAACGGAGAGCAAAAATCCCAGAACCACACAGGGGACCTAGTGAATGACCTGCAGAGAGCTGGGACCAAAGTAACAAAGCCTACCATCAGTAACACACTACGCCGCCAGGGACTCAAATCCTGCAGTGCCAGATATGTCCCCCTGCTTAAGCCAGTACATGTCCAGGCCCGTCTGAAGTTTGCTAGAGTGCATTTGGATGATCCAGAAGAGGATTGGGAGAATGTCATATGGTCAGATGAAACCAAAATATAACTTTTTGGTAAAAACTCAACTCGTCGTGTTTGGAGGACAAAGAATGCTGAGTTGCATCCAAAGAACACCATACCTACTGTGAAGCATGGGGGTGGAAACATCATGCTTTGGGGCTGTTTTTCTGCAAAGGGACCAGGACGACTGATCCGTGTAAAGGAAAGAATGAATGGGGCCATGTATCGTGAGATTTTGAGTGAAAACCTCCTTCCATCAGCAAGGGCATTGAAGATGAAACGTGGCTGGGTCTTTCAGCATGACAATGATCCCAAACACATCGCCAGGGCAACGAAGGAGTGGCTTCGTAAGAAGCATTTCAAGGTCCTGGAGTGGCCTAGCCAGTCTCCAGATCTCAACCCCATAGAAAATAATTGGAGGGAGTTGAAAGTCTGTGTTGCCCAGTGACAGCCCCAAAACGTCACTGCTCAAGAGGGAGGAATGGGCCAAAATACCAGCAACAGTGTGTGAAAACCTTGTGAAGACTTACAGAAAACGTTTGACCTATGTCATTGCCAACAAAGGGTATATAACAAAGTATTGAGAAACTTTTGTTATTGACCAAAGACTTATTTTCCACCATAATTTGCAAATAGATTCATAAAAAATCCTACAATGTGATTTTCTGGAAAAAAAAATCTCATTTTGTCTGTCATAGTTGACGTGTACCTATGATGAAAATTACAGGCCTCTCTCATCTTTTTAAGTGGGAGAACTTGCACAATTGGTGGCTGACTAATTACTTTTTTCCCCCACTGTATCTCTATTATGCGTGGGAATACTTTGGAACAGATGTATTTGCTGATTTATTAACTATTTAGCAGTCTTATGACTTGGGAATAGAAGCTGTTCAGGAGCCTGTTGGTGTCAGACTTCATGCTCCGGTACCGCTTGCCGTGTGGAAGCAGAGAGAACAGTCTTAGGCTTGGGTGGCTGGAGTCTTTTAACAATTTTCCGGGCCTTCCTTTCACACCGCCTGATATAGAGGTCCTGGATGGCAGGAAGCTCGGCCCCAGTGATGTGCTGGGCTGTCCGCGCCACCTTCTGTAGCGCCATGCGATCGCGGGCGGTGCTGTTGCCATACCAACCAATGATGCAGCCAGTCAAGATTCTCTCAATGGTACAGCTGTGGAACTGTTTGAGGATTTGAGTCTCCATGCCAAACCTTTTCAGCCTCTTGAAGGGGAAGAGGCATTGTCATGCCTTCTTCGTCAAATCAAATCAAATCACATTTTATTTGTCACATACACGTGTTTAGCAGATGTTATTGCGGGTGTAGCGAAATGCTTGTGCTTCTAACTCCGACAGTGCAGTAATATCTAACAAGTAATATCTAACAATTTCACAACATATACCCAATACACACAAATCTAAGTAAGGAATGGAATTAAGAATATATACATATATGGAGGAGCAATGACAGAGCGGAATGGACTAAGATACAGTAGAATATTATAGTTTGCCCCCGGTAATGCGTTCGGCAGACCGCACCACCCTCTGGAGAGCCCTGCGGTTGCGGGCGGTGCAGTTGCCGTACCAGGCGGTGATACAGCCCGACAGGATGCTCTCAATTGTACATCTGTAAAAGTTTGTGAGGGTTTTAGGTGCCAAATGTATTCAGCCTCCTGAGGTTGAAGAGGCTCAGTTGCGCCTTCTTCACCTCACTGTCTGCGTGGGTGGACCATTTCAGTTGGTCAGTGATGTGTACGCCAAGGACCTTGAAGCTTTCCACCTTCTCCACTGCGGGTCCCGTCGATGTGGATAGGGGGGTGCACCCTCTGCTGTATCCTGAAGTCCACGATCATCTCCTTTGTTTTGTTGACGTTGAGTGAGAGGTTATTTGAATGATGGTGTTGATGTGAGCCATGACCAGCCTTTCAAAGCATTTCATGGCTACAGATGTGAGTGCTACAGCCATAGTCAATTAGACAATTAATAAGTTCCACCCATCAGGCCACTAGAGGGTGATTTGGTCATTTGACTGCAGGAAAGGGCTACAAAATCTATAACTATGTTTGGACAATACCCTAATCAAATATAATGATGTAAGATGATTGAAATGGCATTTGTTTAAAAGTTTGGCAACTTCAAATAATAATGTTTTCAGAACTCTTTTTTTTATTGCTTAAGTATGTTCAGGGAATGTTATTGGAATTATCATGTCACAGCATCACACTATAACTTTGAGACCATTGAGAGGGCGGCGGGTAGCCACATTTTGTTGCAGCAGCATATTCTAAAAACACTACGGGAACATTGTGTTATTACATTCCCTGGCAACCTAATGAAAACCTTAGGGGGATGTTCTGTGGTAGTTTTTACAGAGGTTGTGAACAACATTTTAGTAAATGTTAGGAGAACATTCCAAGGATATTTCATTTCAAACATTTTCTTAGAAAAAAATATTTGTTGATCAAAAACATTATTTTAATGTTTGTTTGACGTTATCATCCTAATGTTAGCACAAATCCTAACTAGAACTTAATTGAAATGTTAATTAATGTCCTGGGAATGTTCACAGGAATGTTCACGGTTTGCTGGTTAGTTTAAATTGTTTTTAAATAGAACCATGTGGGGACCTCCAGGAAACTTTATGTTGAAGCAATGAAATTCCCCTTAAAGTCTCACTCCAGTCTCCCTTTCACCTCATTTATCACCTGATTTACTTAAAGGCCATTACAGTAAAGAAACTTGAATTTCCTATGTTTTATATTCAGTATATTTCATTTTAGTCATTTAGCAGATGCTCTTATCCAAATCATGCATACATATTTGTTTTCTCATACTGGCCCCCTGTGGGAATCAAACCCACAACCCTGGCGTTGCAAGCGCCATGCTCTACCAACTGAGCTACACGGGGCCCGTGTATTTCCACACTGAGGTTGGAATAATACTGTGAAATTGTGAAAATTATGATAATTCCCTTTTAGTGTAAGAGCTGTTTGAAAAGACTACCTGTAATTTCAGCCTGTTTTGGTGGGATTGAGTTCCTGGTGACATCACCAGGCGGTAAATTAAATAGACTAATAAAAAAGAGTTCCAAGAGTTCCGAACCTCTCTGCCAATAACAGCTAGTTTTGAGTCATAGCGAAATACTTGCTTTAGAAATTGCTCTTTGCTAAGAAGCTATTTTTTAATTTTTTTTATTAACAATTTCAGTAAGGTACTTCATTGTTACCCAGAAATTATTTTATATTGAGATAAAAACGGCTGCACTGGACCTTTTTTAAATGTAAAATCTTATTTTTTAATTTTATTTTTTTCACTGCTGATACTGTCCCACATTGTTTTGCATGTCAGCAGTCAAGTTTTCAAGATCTTGGATATTCAAGCTATTCAAGAAGCAAAGTGTCACCGGCCACATATGACTGTAAGTCGCTTTGGATAAAAGCGTCTGCTAAATGGCATATTATATATTATATTATATCGTCATCATGATTAAAAATGCAAAAATAATCATAATTGTGAGTATTTAAAGAAGTTCTCTGAACAATTTGAGAGCATTCCTATACTATTATCAATTATTAAATTAAAAATAACTATGTGTGAACTTACAGGAAGTTTTCTGTTAAGGTAATGAAATATTAAGAAACGTTTTATTGTGTGAATGTGCTGAGAATGTTCCAAAACAAAGCAACTATCCTGCAACATTCCCAGAAAGTTGTGGGAAGGTTGCAGCAAAATAACAATAGGACAACCACGGTCTCACCATGCTCTGAGAAACGTACAATGTTTTGTGCTGCTGGGTTTTCAAGTGTTCGTAAAAGCAAAGACGGGGTATTATTATTATTTTTGCACGTTACAATTACAATTTGTGTTACAATGCTGTTTGCTGTTGTGTAATTATTGTATTTCCAACACGTTTTTAACATTTACATTTCCGGTACGGTATGCATACAGTGAACATACAATAAGCATGAAGCGCATTGAAGGTCAAGAATTGTCTTACATGTTTGTCATCTGTAATTCTTTAACAGTGTTGTTCTGGAGTCCAGGAGAGACCTGAATCCAGCCTGTGGTCCATTCTTTTGCAGCATACTCTCTGCCACCAGGGAACTCACTGCTCTCTGCGATAGAAATCCACTTACCCCAAATCTGCAAGAGATATAGGACACAGACATACTGTATATACCGACCGATACAAACATAGATGGATAACAGCAGTAGTTAGATACCAACTGTCTAACAGATAGATAAACGGATACAAACGGACAGATAGACAGATAGACAGACAGAAATAGACAGACAGACATAGTACTAACATGATCCGTGCTGTTCATCTCCAGGGGTCTCAGTAGATCCTCGCAGGACAGAGGAGCTGCCAGTCCCACTGAGAGAAGACTGAGGACAGAGATGACACACAGGACCAACATGTCTCACTACGTGTCACTTTTATATACACTAATAAAATAAAAAAAATAAAAAATATTAATATTTGTAAAGTGGTTGTCCCACTGGCTATCATAAGGTGAATGCACCAATTTGTAAGTCGCTCTGGATAAGAGCGTCTGCTAAATGACGTAAATGTAAATGTAATACAGTATATCTCCTGTAGTCTACTTGAAGCCTCGCTATCTCTTCCTATATCTGCCCTTTGGTGCACTAGCTGGATTAAACAACAGTGCCAGGGCAGCAGAATAGTGCCAGTCTTATATCCATGAGGTTGCCCTCCACTGGCCTGTGTGCTCTGCAAAACATGTTTGTTTACGGGAACCGTTTCTGTTTGCATTGGCTTTCCCACCATTGCTAAATCATTACTGGGCAAAAAGGCCTTGCTATTAGGTAAGTAGCTTAGCTGTAAAGAACATTGTGCCAGTAACCGGAAGGTTCCTGGTTTGAATCCCCAAGCTGACTAGGTGAAACATCTGTCGATGTGGCTTGAGCAAGGCACTTAACCCTAATTTCTCCTGTAAGTGGCTAAACGACTGCTAAATGACTAAAATGTAAAATGTGTAAATATTAAAAAGGGAGTTGTACTGAGAGCAGAGCACACAGGACTTTGACCGCCCCCTTATTTTGCCCAAAAACAATGTAAACAAGTAGAATCGTTCCCGTTATGCAAATGCTTCACATGAATGTGAATTTTATTTCTGGTAAATCTTATCTATCTGTTTCCATTTCTGCGTGTTTATTATACAAATGGTCAAGTATCGCAAAACCACAAGAATATTAACAGTGACAACAACAACATAATAACCCCCCCCTAAAAATAATCATAGATTGGCCAGTCATGATAACATTATACTGCAGTTTTGATGCTGCAGTCAGTGGATTGAAAGAGGTGTGAAGTAAAACATTTAAACGAGTATATTCATGGTGTCTTTCTGGTCAGATGTTGCATGAACTTTGGATCCGTGTTTCATGTTTATTATTTTTTCATGTTCGGTGTTTCATGTTCCATGTCCAAATCATCCCAACGTCTCTACAATTGATTGTGGAAGTCTATAAAGTTACTTTAAGATGATTTGGACATGGAAAACGCTTAATACTGTATTGGGGATATTGACTTGGAAAACGCTAATACTGTATTGGGGATATTGACTTGCCTCGATTTTTCGGACAAAAATGCTAACCACTTGCCAAGTAAACACCAGACAGTGGTTAGGTAAACAAAACCAAAACATGGATTGCTGTCTTACCTTGTCCATAGACTGCCTACAGGTTAAGGAAACTAATATGCCATTTTGTTTAAGGCTAACATGTTATTTGAGAATAAAATGAACTTTTTTTTTATATTGACCTGTTCAAAAGCAATCGTCTTTGAAACTGCGTGTGAAAACACCTAGAATAGGTTGTTGCATTTATGTCATAATGTAACACTATGCTAACGTAGAGACTGAACGATTCTCTTTGAAATAATCCCACTGAATGGTATATGATGCACCCAGAATAGAGAGGGGAAATATCATTCAACTCATAGTTGAAGTAAAGCCAACTCTTTTTATATCACTAGGAGATCTGTCAGTAGAGCCCCACATTTAAATATCCAGCTCAGTAAAACTTTTAATTGTCAGTAGTTTCTTTTTCATCTCTTTCAAGCAGTGAATAAGCCGACGTTTGGCTTTTTTGTCAGTGTTGCATTGAACACGTTTCTCTGTCTTCTGTCAGACATCTTGGACAGAACTTAACTGGCTGTCTGCTTAGACTCGCCTGTCAGTTGTCTCCACAGACGACAGACCACTTAGCGTTGTCATGCCAATATACTAAGTATTTTACAAAAGGAAAGGGGTGTGACAAATAAGGCTTTTGCTAGATGGCTGTCATGACTCGACATCCCAATTTTGCTGCATCATCCTGAATAGGACTCAAATTACTGCATTTGGGTGGCAGCTGTGAAAGCACCCTGACTTTGGTATGGGAAAGTTCTAGAAAATCAATTCAAGGCTAGCCACTACTCAAAACTCTTCACCAAGCAAAAACATCGTACAATGACTCAAATACATTATATCACAACCTTATGAAGACCTTCTTTACAAAGCCTCTTAACCAAACCTTCCTTTTAATATGCACTAAGTCCCTCAATGTGTTGAGGACTGAAGCAGTACACAGATATTATCCTGTAACAAATAGAGAAATTGGTGAATTGGAGTGAAATAACCAGTGACTAGCATTTCATGAAAACCCCTCGGAGTCGGGAGACGAAAATCACTTAATATCCAGAGAGAGAGAGCGTCAGGAGGGGAAATTGAGAGGTGCTGAACCTCATCACAGTGAGCCGTCTAGTGGGAGTGCAGGCCAAAATGTCTGCTTACTTGTCTGCCAAAGTGATTGTGTAACAAATAACCCATGACGTGTGTGTGTGTGTGGATCTCTGTGACCACTGGCCTCTGTAAGGGGTATGCAAAGGACCCTGGCTTGCTGCCTCAGTTGTTTTGGCCTGACCAAAATTACAGGGTTTAATAGGAGCTGGTGTTGGGTGTGTGAGTGTAGGAGTGGGCTCTCCTGTGTGTGTGTTAGACCCAAGGTGACTGTTTGGGGCATCACCAAATGAAAACAACAGATAGGAAGCCTGTCCATGGGGGTCAGTGATTACGCCGCTAGATGAGTATGCCTGGGAGACATGCAGTACCAGCATGAACGACAGACAGACGGACATGGAGACTGAGATGGAGACAGGCCTCAACAACTAGCCTGACTAATATTCAAGAGTTACAGTTCCTTGCAAAAGTATTCATCCCCCTTGGCGTTTTTCCTATTTTGTTGCATTACAACCTGTAATTTAAATGAATTTTTATTTGGATTTCATGTAATGGACATACACAAAATAGTCCAAATTGGTGAAGTGAAATGAAAAAAACAACTTGTTTCAAAAGATTCTACAAAATAAATAACGGAAAAGTGGTGCGTGCATATGTATTCACCCCCTTTGCTATGAAGCCCCTAAATAAGATCTGGTGCAACCAATTACCTTCAGAAGTCACATAATTAGTTAAATAAAGTCCACCTGTGTGCAATCTAAGTGCCACATGATCTGTCATATGATCTCAGTATACATACACCTGTTCTGAAAGGGCCCAGAGTCTGCAACACCACTAAGCAAGGGGCACCACCAAGCAAGCAGCACCATGAAGACCAAGGAGCTCTCCAAACAGGTCAGGGACAGATTTGTGGAGAAGTACAGAGCAGGGTTGGGTTATAAACAAATATCCGAAACTTTGAACATCCCACGGAGCACCATTAAATCCATTATTAAAAAAATGGAAAGAATATGGCATCACAACAAACCTGCCAAGAGAGGGCCACCCACCAAAACTCATGGACCAGGCAAGGAGGGCATTAATCAGAGAGGCAACAAAGAGACCAAAGATAACCCTGAAGGAGCTGCAAAGCTCCACAGCGGAGATTGGAGTATCTGTCCATAGGATCACTTTAAGCCGTACACTCCACAGAGCTAGGCTTTATGGAAGAGTGGCCAGAAAAAAGCCATTGCTTAGAGAAAGAAATAAGCAAACACGTTTGGTGTTCGCCAAAAGCCATGTGGGAGACTCCCCAAACATATGGACGAAGGTATTCTGGTCAGATGAGACTAAAATTGAGCTTTTTGGCCATCAAGGAAAACGCTATGTCTGGCGCAAACCCAACACCTCTCATCACCCCAAGAACACCATTCCCACAGTGAAGCATGGTGGTGGCAGCATCATGCTGTGGGGATGTTTTTCATCGGGGACTGGGAAACTGGTCAGAATTGAAGGAATGATGGATGGCGCTAAATACAGGGAAATTCTTGAGGGAAACCTGTTTCAGTCTTCCAGAGATTTGAAACTGGGACGGAGGTTCACCTTCCAGCAGGACAATGACCCTAAGCATACTGCTAAAGCAACACTTGAGTGGTTTAAGGGGAAATATTTAAATGTCTTGGAATGGCCTTGTCAAAGCCCTCAATCCAATTGAGAATATGTGGTATGACTTAAAGACTGTTGTACACCAGAGGAACCCATCCAACTTGAAGGAGCTGGAGCAGTTTTGCCTTGAAGAATGGGCAAATTCCCAGTGGCTAGATGTGCCAAGCTTATAGAGTCATACCCCAAGAGACTTGCAGCTGTAATTGCTGAAAAAGGTGGCTCTACAAAGTGTTGACTTTGGGGGGGGGGTGAATAGTTATGCATGCTCAACTTTTCTGTTTTTTTGTCTTATTTCTTGTTTGTTTAAAAATATGTATATATATATTGCATCTTCAAAGTGGTAGGCATGTTGTGTAAATCAAATGATACAAACCCCCCAAAAATCTATTTTAATTCCAGGTTGTAAGGCAACAAAATAGGAAAAATGCCAAGGGGGGTGAATACTTTCGCAAGCCACTGTAGTCTGTGTCTGTGTCTGTTTGTGTGTGTGTGTCTGTGTCTGTGTGTGTGTGGCGGAGAGAAAGAAAGGCGTGCCTTAACAGATTATTTACATAACACTTACTGTTGTGGAAAGGGGGGGAAATGGATCTTTACAGTTTTCAGACCTTCTGAAAAGTTAATGAAACTCTGGTCAGTGGACTAACAAACTGTGTGTGTGTGCGCGTGCCTTTGTGCACGAATGTGTGTGTGTGTGTGTGCACATTATTGTGTGCTTCAAACTGCTGTCTGGACAGCAGGCTCCTATAATGAAAGGTTAGAGGGAACACAGACATTCTCAGTAGAACTAACAAGGTTTCATTACGTCTCCAAACCTTTAGTGTAAAAGTAGAGTTCATAGTAGGTCTCCGACACAGAAGTCAAGCCCATTAATTTCTGCCCAATACACCAACACAACAACAAGCATGGTGGTATCGAGGGGTTGGCTGACAACCTCACAAATGATCCGCAAGCATCGATGTGGCTGGAAGGTGTGCGTTGTTATGATTCTGCACATCAGATAGCTAGCGACAATGACAAGAAGCTGCCATGTGGGGAATTGTAGTTGGCTCGTTTCAGCTCGTATCTTGTTATTGATACCATGTCTTGTTTTGAGGTGTTTTGAC